TTATTTATTATGTATACAATATTCTGTCTGTGTGTATGTCTGCAGGCCAGAAGAGGGCACCAGACCTCATTCCAGATGGTTGTGAGCCACCATGTGGTTGCTGGGAATTGAACTCAGGACCTTTGTAAGAGCAGGCAATGCTCTTAACCACTGAGCCATCTCTCCAGCCCGACATGGCCCTTTTAAATGGATTTCTTGGGCCTAGTCCTCTGGGTCCTGAACTGGTGTATTCTATTAGCTCGGGTATATATGTCTGATCATAGCCCTTTGGCAAAATTACTAGAAGACTCTCTGCATATATCCCATCACTGATTCTTGCAAACCCAATGAATTTTGAGAACATTCAAGGACAAACATTTTGGTTTAACCCATTGACATTATTTTGAGATAAAACTGACTGTTAGACCCCAACTCTGGGATGTTAACTCCTCAGGAGGATCGCCCCATGGAACCATCCATGCATCCAGTTGATGTAAAAGCAAGAGGAATTTTATTCTCGTTTGTACAAATGGGCTCCTCAGCCAGGCAAGGGAGAGAAGCTATTACAGGCTACTTTTAAAGGATATATACACACACACACACACACACACACACACACACACACACACACACATTCAGGGAGGGGAGTACAATGGGTTGTTTGTCAACTGCAGGGATTGGCTCATTTTAAGGGCATTTACTATGATTGATTATGTCAAAGGCGGGATGGGCGGTTGCCTGGGTCAGGTGAAGGACAGGGAAGCACCTGCAGGCTGTTGGAAAACATCTAACGTTCTAGTCAGCAGGCAGGGTGGGGTCACAACTAGTTCACAAAAACATGTTTTCTTTAGTTTGCAAAAACATGTTTTCTTCACTTACAACCAGAAGACATGTTATTTAGTCTTTAAAAAAAAGGAGGCAATGAGTTATTAAACACTGTAAACGAAACCTCATTTATGTTGTCTTGATGGAGAAATAAAAATGATTACATTTTATTTTTTTAAAGATTTATGTATATAATACTCTATGTTCATGTTTGCCTGCATGCCAGAAGAGGGCACCAGATCCCACTAGAGATGGTTGTGAGCCATGGGTGTCGTCTCTTGAAGGCTATTGACTGAAAGATTCCCCATATTAAGCTACCATGTGGGTGCTGGGAATTGAACTCAGGGCCTCTGAAAGAGCTGTCAATGCTCTTAAATGCTGAGCCATCTCTTCAGCCCCAGATTTTACAAATCTTTAACCAGTTTAGTAAGTTTATTGGGTAAATAAACTTACAAACCTTGAGGTACAGAAAGTTTACATAATAATCTTACAAATCTTGAGATAAGAGTCATGCTGTAGCAAAAGTCTTAGGGTTAAAACCAAAAAGGGTATGAAATGAGTAGCAACAGTCACCATTGGGAATGGTCTGTTCTTTTGTCGTGGTTTGCACTCTTTTCTCTGTCATGCAGTCTGGTGGTCTGTCTAGCAGGGAACAGAGATTTTGGAACAAACCTTTAAACACCTATGCTTGGGTCTGGAGGAGGGGGAGCTATACCAACTCCAGAGTCAGCTTTTCATTGAAGTAGAACAGGCATAAACACATTTTAATATTATCTATACCAAAAAGACACCTAAATTCCTGTAAAACTGAACCCAGTGGCCAAGGGGAGGTACAAGAGTAAGTTGAGAAGAAAGAGGGCTTAGATATAAAAACTCTTGAGCCCTTGCTTTTGACAGGATGCTGCAGGAGGGAGATGAGAAACACTGGGTACCAACCAGCGAGGCGTGTATGCTGAATGTGTGCACGCCACAGATGGCCTGCTCCTTCACTCATTCCTCATCTAGAACTAGAACATACCCTTCAAGAGAGATCAAGGACATAATATTAGGAGATAACAAATTGTAACAAACCTGACTCTTGGCTTCCACATTTGTAACAAATTACAAAAACACAGATGTGTCAAATAACTTAAAATGAATATCCCCACAATCGGGAGTGGGGTGGGGGTGGGAGAGGGATGGACCAGATAACATAAACATTTGGTAGCTATCTTCATTCATACATCCAACAGTTGATTTTCATCTTGACTTTTCCAACAAAGGCCAGCGGTGTCCCAGTGGACCCCCTGACTCAGGGATTAACCCTGTGTCAAGCTTTTCTACAAGTGCCAAAATTGGGCGCTACAGACAAACATGATCATTACCTACACCTCCAGAGGTTTTCTGATTCTACTTTTCTCACAGTCTAAAGGTTGAGAACCTGCAGGTGTCTCCCTCCAAATGCTGGGCCCATCTGATTTCTTGTCTCCCAGTATGCTGGGACCCTTTAGGATCCCAAGGCCGATCAGAAAAAGGTAGATCTGGTGAATGCCCAAAGATGAGGTCCCAAATGTTTTGGGTCATTTAGAGAATCATGTTTGACCATTAATAAATTTTAACAAAGAGAGGCTTTTATTCACATAACTGGCATCTGGTCTGTTGTAATAATAATAATAATAAAAAAAAACAGTATGAGAGAGAAA